ATTGTTCCTTATAATGAATCCAGTATTGTTTCTCTGGGGGGGGGGGGAATCACGGGTTCTAGAAAGGGACTAATTACTTATCATTCAAGTATTTGAATGAGTGGGTTTCATTTGAATTACTGCAAATAGGCAAAACCTGTATCTACAGGTTGTATTTTAAAACCAGAGACAAGGACTGGGAATGTGCCTTAGTGGTAGAATGCTTACCTAGCATTCATGAAGGCCCTGGGTTTTATTCTTCAGTACCACATGTAAACAAACAAAATAGCCATGAAGTGTTGCTCTGGGGCTCCAGTGGTAGAATACCAACCTGGAGCTGAAGCTCATGGACAGTACCCAAGCCTAAAGTTCATTGTTTTAGTCTAACATGCAACATCTAAATTTTCACTGAATATGCTACGATTCCACTCTGAAATCCAAGTGTTCAGCTTAGAGATGTGCTTTACACAGAAACTAGTATAAAACAGATTTATCATCCTGGCTTAGGTGACACATGCCTCTAATTCCAATCTTGGCTGACTGGAGATCAAAGCAGGAAACAGTAAAGCTGTCTCCCATCTTCCGTTAACCACTAAAAAGCCCAGTAAGTGGTATAAATGAGAGTGCACTAGCCTCAAGCAACAAAAGCTCACAGTGCACAGGCAGACCTGACTTCATGCCTAAGGGGGGGGGGCCAGAACTGGCAACAGGATAAGTCATACAAAATTACTGAAAAAGGGATGGATGGAAACAAAGGAGTATTTTCAAAATATACTGCAACTAATCTGAAAACAGCATAAGGGATCTCAATGAAAGCAACCAATAGGTTAAAGGGCAGGGAAATGGATACCTTTTGTTGTCAGTCATGGAGCCTTCACTCAGAACCTGCATGGTGGAGCTCTTTTGCTCAAGGATAATCCTCTACTACCTGAACCACAAAGCCACTTGAGGTTTTGAGTGGTTAGTTGGAGTCTCAAGGAGACTGATCTACCCAGGCTGGCTTTGAACCTGGATCCTTAGATCTCATCCTCCTGAGTAGTTATGATTACAGGCATTAATTAGCCACTAGTACCCTGCTCAAAAATTAAGCATAATTTTGCTTTCATAAAAATTTCATGTTTCATGACAGGAATATTAAACAGGCTCTGTGGAGAGTAGAGCTGGTAAGAGGGGTAAATAAGGATCAATAGTCATAGTAGTTTGTCTGCCTATATGAAAATATAACCAGTTGAAAAAGCCCAAATAGTTTTAATGGGATTTGATGCAATGGGTGCTATTGGTTTTATTGTGTATGTTAACATTATCCCCACTGTAGTCCACAGCTCCACCCACACCTGAGCTCCTCCCTGCCCTAGAGTTCCTGCCTGATAGCTGGCCACCCCCTATACCATCTAGATCAACCTGTATATGCAACTTGACCCAGAGCTACCCACCTGGATGGGGGGGCAGATGCCATATTACTCCCTCTCGTGGGGGATATACGACCCCTCTAATAAACCTTATAATCTTTCTCCTGTGCCTGTCTGCCTGGGCATAGTTCCCTGGAATGGTTCTGATGGATATTAACAGTATATAGGAGTAGATGTGCCATGTGAAACCTCCCTTTGTGTAACAAATGCATGCTAATATTTTTCAAGTATTTCAGGCTCTATTCCAAGTGTATTTCTTTTGGTACGGATTAAATTGGGCTTGAACTCTTGGCCTTGTGCTTTTTCACCAAAGGGTGGTGGTCTACCATTGGAAGCACAGCCCACATCCAACTTTTTGCATTGCTGATTAACTTCAGACTTCTGCCTGAGGTAGACTGAAACCTAAATCCTGAGTAGTTAGGGTTGCAGGTGTGAACCACTAGTGCCAGACTTCCAGGGATATACCTTAGGACAATTCTGAGTATCTTTTGTTTTGGCCAGCCCTGGGAGTAAGAACCCATGGCCTGGGCACTGTCCTTGGGCTTCTTTTGATCAAGGATAGCACCCTACCACTTGAGCCACAGGGCCACTTCTAGCCTTTTCTTATGTGGTATGGAAGAGTTGAACCTGGGGCTTCATACATGCTAGGTAAGCACTGTAACATGGAACATTACCAGTCCTCCATTTTTAAATCTATGCACATCAACAAATAAATACCTACCTCAAAGGTTAAAATTTTCCTCCATGGCAATGTTTTTTTCCCACTCTCTGTCTGTAAAAATGGAAACCTTGATCCTTTGTCTTTAATTTGTTTCTTATCTATGTGGGACCTTCTAGTGCTTCTTCTGCCTTTTGGTCTTCCCCTTGGTCCTAATTTTCGTTTATATTTCTTCTTTTTACGTTTCCGTTTCTTTTGCTTGAATCTTTCAAAAATAGCTTTTAAAGTCAATGGTCTTGGTTCTATAGATGAGTCGCTTGATGAATCTGTTTCAACACTTTCAAATGATTGAGTAGGAATAGATTTTCTGATAAAGCCTGTTTTTTGCCTCCGTTTAGGTGAGAAAGGAACACATTGTGTTTTAAATAAACTGCTACCAGATGAAGAGTCCTCACTATTAACAAAAAAACAGTGAATGACCAATTATAATGTAGCAAAATGTACATTTCTTCCAGACTTATATATAAAATGCCTAGCTGGAAACTGGTGGCTCACACCTGTAATCCTAGCTACTAAGGAGGCTGAGATCTAAGGATCATGGTTCAATGCCAGCACGGGAAAGAAAGCCCATGTACTTATCTCCAATTAACCACCAGAAATGACTGCCAAAAATTAAAAGTATTTATTGTTACATCAGTAACAATAAAACTTTAGAATGGGGTCAAGATCAGCCAGAGTCCTAACCATCGTATCTAAAATTGACACACCACCTCTGGTAAAACATTATCTTCATTTTGTGAAACTATATGCTCCAGTGGTCTACAGCAATGCCTAACCAGTTCACTAGACAAAACTGGGGTAATTTACTCAGTAATACAATGTTTTTTCAATAACTCAAACTATACAAACAAGTCAGTGCTTTCTTAAGTCAATGAACTTATCTCCTGGTAATCAAATACCCTATTTTGACTAGTCAGTCATGTCTCTCATAAAAATCCATTTACCTTTCATTTTCAATTTCCATAGCTCTGTCAGATGACATGCAGTCAGCAGAATCCATTTGTCTTCATGTTTCCTACAATTACAAATTTCAGTTAATGTAATATAGCTCCACAGAATAAATGCAAACATACACCCAATCATCTAAAATCTAGAGTCTATTTCATTTCTGAAAACCAGGAAGTTGCATTCTGGGGTTGGAGGTGTCACGAGTTCAAGTCCAGTCTCAGAAAAATAAATGCTATATTTCCAGGCTCTTTTCACTTTTACTCTCTACATATATTCAAAGCTTCATCAGCCACAGTAACAATATCATTAATACAATAATGTATGTTAGTGGACAAAAAAGGAGTTTCCAATGCCCAAGGAAATTTTGTATTTATATTCCTGGTCTGGGATTTACCAGAACTATCCTTGCTTTTATGGATACTGTTTTGTCCACAAACTAAGACGATATGCTTACTTTGTGTTAACTACTTATTTCACTATTACAATTCCCTTATACATGAGGCATGACATCTAAATAGTAACAAGTCCTAAAATAAAGTACTCCAAATACAGAAAAATGGCCGGGACACTAATTTTTTTTTGTCCTTTCTGGTGAGTGCTGGTTCCAAGGCTTGGATTCTGTCCCCCGCAGCTTATTTGCTCAAGGCAGTGCTTAGGCTAAACATCCCCCTCCCCAGCCAGATGCCGGGTGGCTCTCGCCTGCCATCCTAGCTACTGAGGAGGCGGTTCAAAGCTAGGCCAGGCAGACACAAGTCCCTGAGACTCTGATCTCCAATAAACCACCAGAAAACCGGAAGTGGCTCAGGAGGTAGAGCGCTCGCCTGAAGCTGAAGAGCTGAGGGACAGCGCCCAAGCCCAGAGTTCAAGACCCACGACCGACAGAAAAACAAAAACAAAGCCAAGAGGAATGTAACCGATATAGCTGGACCACCTTAGGCCCGGGGGCGCGCGCAGGCCCGGCGTCGGTCCCAAGGCGGGCCCGCTGCGGGCGCAGGCTGCGTGGCCGGCAGCCTCTCGTTACCGAGCTGAGGGCACAGGGCAGGTTGAGATGGCGCAGTGCCGGTCACCGGCAGGTTTAGATCCCGGAGCGCCGGCGGCACACGCACTTCAACCCCAACTCAACGGCTCCACCAAGGGCCCACGCTGCCCGTGCCGCGCGGCGCCGAGACAGGGCGGAGCCGCGGCGCGCCTCGTCCTCCA